TTTAGAGCCCCTGTCTCACTCTTGCTCAGGCTGGTCTTGAACTCATGAGCTCAAGCTATCCACTCACCTTGGCCTTCCAGAGTGCTAGCATCACAGGCATGAGCAGGCAAGGATTTTCTTTTTTTTGAAATGAATAGTTTCACTTTGCCACTCTGGGTAGAGTACTGTGGTATCATAGCTCATAGCAACCTCCAACTCTTGGGCTAAGTGAATCTCTTGCCTCAGCCTCTCGAGTCTTGCCTGGCCTGCCTTGAGGATTTAAAATCTCCTCAGGTGACTGCCCTGTGTAGCTAGGCTGGGAGTTGTGAGTTGGAGGACGGGCCACCTGGGGTCTTATGGCATTTCCTTTTTGCTTGGTCTTGGTCAAGTAGCTAACTTATGAGTTGAAGTCAGGAGACTCACTCTTCTTTCTTTTTTTTGGAGACAGAATTTCACTATGTCACCCTCGGTAGAGTGCTGTGGCATCATAGCTCACAGCAACCTTAAACTCTTGGGCTTAAGTGATTCTATTGCCTCAGTCTCCCAGTAGCTGGGGCTACAGGCACCGGCCATAATGCCCAGCTATTTTTTTGTTGCAGTTGGCCCAGGCCGGGTTCAACCCCACCAGCCTTGGTATATGTGGCTGGTGCCATAACCACTGTGCTACGGGAGCTTAGCCAGGAGACTCATTCTTTACCTTTTTTGGTTTGTGAGCTGAACAGGCTTTGTGCACTTAGACTTGCAGTGATATGGACTCCTGGGTGTTGGGGAAGGGCACACAGAGAGACCCAAGTGACACACTGGGCCCTGATGCTGGCATTGCCAGGTGCCTCTGGTATGTGAATGGTGTCAGGAAACAGCCAAGAGCTTCCTGACCACTCCTGCCCCAACTGAGGCTTCCCTGGACATCCTCTTCTCCCTATTATGGGATGTGGGTTGTTAAGGTAATGGTGGAGGCTGGACAGAAAGAAGATCTTGACCACATACATTTTTTGGAATGAATGAATAAATGTGGGAGGATGACATTTTCCACAGTGGTGCTGGAAAGACCGGCACCTGTTTTCATTACCTGATAGGAATGAAAGCCACCCTTAATGGTGGGGCAGGATTAAGGAAGCCACCTTTAATGGTAGGGCAGGATTTAGGAGAGGAAAGGGAGGGGCCCCATAAAGAGAACTTACAAGGCTAGGGAAGGGCTTCTGTAATTGCCTTTAAATTCTTTTTGTTGGCTATATCGGTTAAGTATGATAAGATACTATTAATCTTTGGATAATCTGGCCTTGAATGCCTGAATGAACTCTTGTTAGTGGGCTCACTTAGGTTTCTTCACCTCCCTAAATGCTTCTCGAACGAATGCCTGCCGAAGCATGACAAGGCCCTGTAAGACAGCCCATGTATCTTTCTGGTACACATGAATGATTCACAAGAAAGATCCGAGATTGTTGCATTAAACTGACCAGAATTAAGCTGCTTGATGATAAATTCTATCTGGCGGATCATTTCAGCGTTGCCTTCTTTGATGAAGCAGCGTAGGATGTCTTCCATCCCCTAGAAGATTGCAGAGAATAATAGTTAACATTCCAGTGTTTTGGGGGAAACTATTAATACTTTCAATGAGGTAGTTTCAACTAATCAAAAAATATCTTTTTAGGGGGAATAAGAGGATATGTACAATAAAAATCCTCTACTTAGTACTAAACAGTCTTTTTTTTGAGACAGAGTCTCACTACGTCACCCTCAGAAGATTGAGGTGGTGTCACAGCTCACAGTAACCTCAAATTCTTGGGCTTAAGTGATTCTCTTGCCTCAGTCTCCCAAGTAGCTAGGACTATAGATGCCCGCTACAATGCCCAGCTATTTTTTGTTGCAGTTGTCATTGTTTAGCTGGCGAGGGCTGGGTTTGAACCTACCAGCCTTGGTGTATGTGGCTGGCACCGTAACAACTGTGCTACAGGTGCTGAGCCTAAACATTCTTTTTGTCCTTTTTATAATTCATAGTGAAATTACTTTCTTCTTAGTTGACTATCAACTTAATTAAGACATTTAACAAAAAAACTATTGTAAAATTATACTGTGTAACATTGCCTTCATTTTTGGGAACATGGCATTTTGGGAGCTGGTTTCTTTCCTGTGTTTTCCCTAAGTTTACACACTACCTTCTGAATTTTAGGGCCAAATAAATCTTTGAAAAGTGAAAATGTAAATTTAAAGAAAATGAACAAATAGAATTTCTCTCTCTCTCTCTTTTTTTTTTGAGACAAAGTCTCACTATGTCTCCCTCAGTATAGTGCCATGGTGTCACAGCTCACAGCAACCTCCAATTCTTGGGCTTAAGTGATTCTCTTGCCTCAGCCTCCTAAGTAGCTGGGACAGGCCCCTGCCACAACACCCAGATAATTTTTTGTTGCAGTTGTCGTTGTTTAGCAGGCCCAGGCCGGGTTTCAACTTACCAGCCTTGGTATATGTGGCAGCTCCCTAACCACTAAGCTATGGGCACAGAGCCTAGAAGTTCTCTTTAAACAGATATCATTCTTTTTCTTTCTTTTTTAGAGACAGAGTCTTATTCTGTCACCCTTGGTAGCCTTGGTAGAGTGCTATGGTGTCACAGCTCACAGCAATCTCCAGCTCTTGGGCTTAGGTGATTCTCTTGCCTCAGCCTCCTGAGTAGCTGGGACTACAGGTGCCCACCACAGTGCCTGGCTATTTTTTGTTGCAATTTGGCTGGGGCCGGTTTGAACCTGCCATCCTTGGTATATGGGGCCAGTGCCTCGGTATATGGCTACTCACTGAGCCAGAGGCGTCGCCCGATATCATTCTTTTTCTATCAAAAAATTATAAAGTCATCATACTATGCATTATTTTCTTTATTGTAACACATTGACACCAGAAGTTTCAAGACAGGCCATCAGCATTCCAGGGAAATGCAGAGGTAAGATATTGACTTAAAAGTAGTGTCTAATTCTCCTCCCTCCCTTTTCCTTGCAGGATTTGAATGAGTATGTACAGCTAGTGGTAATGAAGCCTCTTGCCACCATGAAGGGAAACATGTGTCTAATTATGAACTCAAAACAGAGGAAGCAGAGTCCGAAGGTGCTGGCAGAGAAGTGAATCCATGTGAATCCTGAGCAAACTGTGCCTGAAACTTATCGTGGACTTCACGAGCCAGTAAGTACCTTATTTAGGTAGAACGGTTTGGAATTAATAGCTCTCACTGAATCAAAGAAATGCCAAGTGCACTTGTGAACATGGTGAGTTCTCATCATCCAAGCAGAGCATAGCCTAGAAAAATTAAATCAAAATTGTAACTAGGACTGTAATCCTAGCTCCATGAATTACTTAAATTACTTAACTTCTCTCAGGCTGCTTCATCAACTATAAAAGAGGATGACAACTTGAGTTGACATGAGAGTTTTATTTATTTTTGAGATAGAGTCTCACTCTGTTGTCCAGGCTAGACTGCCATGGTGTCAGCCAAGCTCACAGCAACCTTAAACTCCTATATTCAAGTGATCCTCCCGCCTCAGCTTTCTGAGTAGTTGGGACAACAGATGCCCACCACAAATCCTGCCTAATTTTTCTATTTCTAATAGAGATGGGGTCTCACTCTTGCTCAGGCTTGTCTCAAACCCTTGACCTCACAGGATCTTTTGCCTCAGGCTTCCAGAGTGCTAGGATTACAGGAGTGAGCTACCATCCCCAGCCAAGATGACAATTTTAAAAGACAAAGTACACATGTAATTGGGAGTTGGTTATGAAAATGTATGCACTTGTCAAAAAGCTTTGAACTGTACATGGAAGGCCAGCAGATTTCACTGTTCGTAAATTCTACCTAAAAAAATAGCACCTAGGCTTGGCACCCATAGCACAGTGGTTATGGTGCCAGCCACATGCACTGAGGTTGGCAGGTTTGAACCCAGCCCTGGCCAGCTGAACAATGACAACTGCAACAACAACAACAAAAAAATAGCTAGCTTTAGCACCTATAGCACATTGGTTACAGTGCCAGCCACATACACCGAAGTTGGCGGGTGTGAACCTGGCCCTGGCCAGCTAACCAACAATGACGACTACAACAAAAAAATAGCCAGGCCTTGTGGGCTCCTATAGTCCCAGATACTTGGGAGGCTGAGGCAAGAGAATCACTTGAGCCCAAGAGTTTGAGATTTCTGTGAGCTGTATCAACCATTGCACTCTACCAAGGGTGTCATAGTGAGCCAGGTGTTGTGGCTACTTGGTATTGGTGTCATAGTGAGACTATCTCAAGAAAAAAAAATAGCTTGGTGTTGTGGCTACCAGGTGTTTTCTCAGCTACTTGGGAGGCTGAGAAAGAGAATCGCTTAAGTCTAAGAGTCTGAAGTTGCTCTGAGGTGTGAAGCCACAGAACTCTACGGAGGGCGACACAGTGAGACTGTGTCTCAATCAAACAAACAAAAAACAGCATCTAGTTCAATAGTTGGCACATAGTAGATGCTAAAAAAAAAAAAAAAATGAGATTGCACTTAATGTGTCTGGTAGGGCTCAGGAGACCTGGTAGACAAAGCCCAGGGAAAAAGAAACAAGGTTTCCCAGTAACAGCAGAGTAAGAGAAGACAGAACCCCAGAGAACTGTGACACGGAAGTGGGAAGCAAAAACGGGCAAGCCCACAGAGGAGGTGGTGGTCTGACAGGAAGAACTCTGCAAAGGTGTCTTTGAGCAAGGGAGGGCTTTTCAAAGAGGACATAGTCTGCAGGGCCCAGGATCCTGTGGGACCAGTCTGACACTTGGCCTGAGCTTGTCTTACCTAAGAGATAGCTCTCAATAAAGACTGCCTTGGCCTTGCCCTGCCAGGAAAGGTGGAGTTTATGTCTCTTCCATAAATGGATCTCCCCCAGTCTCTATCTCATTGAGGTGAGGACCAGGGGAAGAACATTCCTACACAAAGAGGTATGGTAAACCCCCAGGTCCAGAGATCACAGTCACAGTTTAGGAACGTCAATGTCTTAGACATTTTCACCATTCCACTGGTGAAAAGGGCTCACTCAGGCTCTCTTTGATCTTTTCTTCCCAGATGTTACTTTTGCAAGTGATTACGCATCTGTTCATATATTTAAAGATCTTTTCATTCTTTCTCAATTTGCTCTCTTTCAAATCTCTCTAGCTTGCCATTTTCTTTTCTTTTTTTTTGAGACAGAGTCTTGTTCTGTTGCCTTAGCTGCAGTGCGGTGGTATCATCACAGCTCACTGGAAGTTCAAACTCCTAAGATCGCGTGACCTTCCCACTAGGCCTCTAGTTCAGTTATTACTTGGGGGGAAAAACATCATAAACTCCTTCTTCTTTGTAATGAGGAGGATTACTTGAAGAAACTTTTTTAACAGAAAATTCTCCAGTGAGAAATACCACATATCCTTTTAAAATTACATGTATTAGTTAATGTTTATTCTAAATTATAGAAACAGTAAGTCATCAAAATAACCATATTTTATCCTGAAAATAATAATCTGTCATATCAGAAAAACAAGGTCAAATAACAACATCCAGGTAGATGGAAAAGACAATAAAAGGTCCTTGTATATCAGCCGGAATTATGAAAATGGGAAAACAAGCAGTGTGCAAAAAGTCAGCAAATAAGGAATTTGTGCTTCTGTTATGCTTAAAGACCACCAAAAAGATAATCATACAGAAGACTACATTTGTATTTACAGTGTTTAAGGAGAGAAAACAATGTCATATCTGGATGTCTCATTAGGCTAAAGCCCCAAGTTGCGCATGATGCCGCAGCACAGGTAGGTGTGGAGAGCCCTGGAGCCACACTCTTCATGGGCTGGTCCCCCACTGGCCACATGGGCTGGGCAGACAATTTCACCCATAAGCCTCAACTTCCTCACCAGCAAAATGGGCACAGTCAGTCACTCCTTCAGGGGAGCTTCGAGAGGATTTAATGAGGTAGAGCCCCCTCACTGAGCCCAGCAGCATGCATGGACTGCTAAACAGGCCAGCAATCATCGCACTCATCAACCACATGGATCTTATTCCAGCCCAGTCTAATCCTCTCTCACCAATGGTCATTTTGAGAAATTTTCCCCTTAGAAATTCAAGTAGCTGTTTCATGGGAATGTAAACATTTTCCTCTAATTATAAAAGTTAGGCACATACAAGTTCTCTGTAGAAACCTTGTAAACTACATAATGAGTAAAATTTACCCATAAGCCCCTAGCCAGAGATAATTATGAACATTTTGAAGTATTTCCTTCTAATTATGTGCATCACTTTAGATAACTGAGATCATATTGATAATGTTTTTTCTTATTTTTTAACTTCATGATTATTTTCATGTGTCAATAAAAACCTTTATAAGCATTTTCATAGTTATAATAATAATAGCAGCTAATATCTCCCAATGCTTTACTATGTGTCAGGCATTGTTCTACATAACAGTAGAACCTCTATAAGTTGACTATCCAAGGGACTGTAACAAACAGGTCAATATATAGAGGTGTCAACATAAGTAGGTGTCAACTACTGTACATGTGGTGCACACCCAGTCTGTGAAAATTAGGTCAACTTAAG